AGGAAACACCATGGCAAGCATGATTTGGAACTGGAAGTTTTATCTAGTTTCCAAAGGATTTTGAAATCAAGACCAGATAATCTGCAACAGATAGTTGACATCTGACCATTTCATCAAACATTCCTGATTTCTAGAATTAGTGCAATGCTGTAGCTTCAAACTTCCCAATTCTATTTCTCCACTATTTTCAAAACTGATTAAGCACCAGTCACTTATTATGTCACTCTAAAGAAAGAAAGTTGTTCATCACACATGTTAAGAAAACATCACCAGGTGGTTAGTATTTCCATGCCAATTATATCCCTTATAAATGACTGCAGTCATTCTATTATTTTAGCAGACCAAAATATCAAATGTTCCGCACAGAAGGGAATAGAAATTGAGAAACAATCCATATGAATACTTCAAGAACCACACGGAGGAAGGAAGTGGTAATGCTGACTCTGTGAGATTCATTTCCAAAAAGTTCTCTTCCTTCTGTTTTATCTTCCAGAATTTCTCATTGAAGATAGACTCAGACACTTTTTCCATACACAGATTAAATTGATCCTCCTGGTATTCCAGATGCACAAAGCAGTTCCTTTGAGCTGTCCTGCAAGTGATGCCTTCCCTGTTCCACATGAGTGGTTTCAACCTGGGGACCTCATCATCGGTGGGATGATGTCTCACTTGATTTACCATTTCTATCAAACTCTATTCAACCAACATCCTTTTCTCAACCTTTATGATTCACCAATGTAAATATTTTCCTTTGAATCATCTGACCATGCATACATATCAAAGAATCATTTATATGACTGTTTGTAGAGAAAATGTAGAGTTTTTCATGTAAATGTAAGAATTCTTTGTGTTTTGAAAGTTTTCTAGTGGTGAGAGAAGAGGGAAATATCTTTGTGTTTGTTTCATTAACATTCTTGTAAGTAAAGCATATTTCATTGCATGGAAATTATCAAAAAAGAAGAATGCAAAAAAAAAATCAGCTCTGCCACATTTCACAACACAAAAATAAAGGTGCTTTTCCAAAAAAAAAAAAAAACACAACACTGAATGTTCTTGGTTTTTTCTTTGAAACGTTTCATTTCTCATCCACAAAACTTGTTCTGTCTCAATTCTGGTTCAAATCTGGAGGTTTCTTGGATGAGAAGTGAAATGTTTCAAATAATAAATTAAGAAACTCCAATTACCTTTTGGAAAATATCTGTGGGACAACCATAACCAGGATGACTGAGAATCTCAAGACATAAATATGGAAACAATTAAATCTATTGACATTCTGTTTTACTAAACAGGAAAGGAATGGTAAGATAGACTAAAGGTGTTTTAATATTTCTATTTTTGCAGCCAAAGTGGCCACACACCTTAGATATTGACTTTGGTGGAACTAAGAATTATGAGCACTCATGGAATATCCCTTAAGAACTTTAAAAATTGGACTTCCGGTTTGTCAGGCTTCGGTGGTGGCAGGAATTTGCATTTGTGCGCGATCCCTGCCGCGCTCGCTGCTGGAGTGCCTCCGATCCAATTGGATCTGGAGGCTATAGTTATCCTGTAGGGATAACTGAAGACAGGTGAGATACAGACAGGGGTCTGGGGACATTGCAATCCCCTTCCTCAGCCGGCTAAACTCCCTTTTTCAAAGGCGGTGGAGCGGCGGTCAGCAATGGCCACCACAAAGAACCTCTCAGCCGGACAAGTTTTGTGCAGGAGGAAGTGGAGAAAATGAAAGTCTTTGGCTGAACCAGGACAATAAGTAACATCTGAACACCCTGGAATTTAGCTCTTTAAAGGATACATTGTTCCCAAGAAGATTGTTAAAAGCTGCGGATGAAAGTGAGAAGGGAAAGTTTTTTTTCTGCTTCACTCTCCTTCCCTACAGAGATAGCAATGGAAATCAGAAACACCCGCTTTGGCAACAGAAGGCAATTAATTTTGAAAATTAAAGCCAAGGGGACATTAAAGATTTCTGAACATTGATATTTTAAAATCAATTTTTTTTTTTTTTGCTATAAGTGGTAAGGGAGAGGCAAATGATTTATATTAAAATTCTGCTGGAGGAGACTGCTTGGAGTTTATAAGATCAGAGATTAAACTGTAATAAAGACTTCTAAGAAATTATTTTGTAATTGTGTAATTGAACTCTACCCCAAGAAGAGAAAGTATTACAAGAAGAAAGTACTAAATGAAACAGTTTGGGTTGATTTGGATTGCTTGATGACTTTGGAACTTTTGCAAACTATTTTTTGAAAGTTTAAAAACACTTGGATTGTTTAAAAAAAATAAAAATAAAACAATGGCATTATCTGTGGAAGAATTGAAAATTGAATTTAAAAAGCTAAAAGAAGAGGAACAAGAAGGCAAGGGCTCTTTTGAATCTGTTTTCCACCTCTTAGAAATGGCGATTTCTACCTATCAGGAAATACAGCAATCAGAAAGTTGGGATGAAGAAGGAGAAGCCATCTTTAATGGACAAACTATTTTAGCTGATGAAGTAAAGGGAAAAGGCAGAAAGAAAATGGAGAATTCAAGATTCAAAAAAACAACCAAGAAAGGGAAAAATAAGGTGAAAAATCGTTATAATGTCAGAAAGCAACAGAAAAGAGAAATACAACAGAGAGGGGAGACTAAAAGGGTGGAGATTGAGAGATGGGGGGGGGGGTAAAAAGATTAGATTTGACAAGAAAGGAAAGGAAAAAGGAAAAAGAAGTTATAAAGGCTTAAAACAAGATGCTAAAAAGCAGGGGGGTTTTAGAGATAAAGGGTAAAATACGATTTAAAGAGATTCTGCAAAAGTACACAAGATTGTATTGTAGTATTTGCATTTGAAATAGAGTTAGAAAACTGGAATATTATATGTATTAATAGAATATTGTAGGGAATGTGTAAAATATCTAAGATTTAATAATACCAAATATTTATGTGTAAAATATCTAAGATTTAATAATAGAGTCTAACTAATTAATTTGTTATGGAACATTGTTTTTTATTATATTATAAGCTTATTATGTTTTTTTTTTAATTTTAAAATGTTATTTAGAATGTACTAAGCAGAATCAGAATGGAAATTATGTAGTATTTTAAGTGTTAAATTGGGGAAAAGATAGAAAGGCATCATACTTCAACCACTGATTACAGGAAAAAATTTGTATTAAAGAGAAAAGATAAATAGACAATTGAAAAAGAACGGACAAAAGATACAAATATAATGGTTTAAATTGAGATGAAGTAAATAAAATAGAATTAAGAGAGTGAAAAGAGGGGAGAAGACATATAGAAAGTATAGAATGTTAGATAAGATTGAAATAGTATATAAGGTGAGCATGAATTTGATTTATGTCTGTACAAAAAGATGTAACCTGGGGTTAAGCCGCTTTCTAAAAAGAAGTTTTATGTTTTCATGTTACGTGTTTTGTTTGTTTATGTTTGCTTATTGAGAATTAAGATTGTTGGATGAGAACATATGAAATTGTAAATAAGATAGATGAAAGTATAAGTTTAATGAATAAAATTGAATAGAAGTAAAGGGAAAAAGAGTGAGAAATTGGAAAAAGAGTAATAAGATATGAAGTTGAATATATAAGATGCATATTAAATTGTATGGAAATGGGATAATTTGGAACTATGCTGTACTTAAATAAGATGTTTTATTTGCTTTCTTAAAAGATGTTCTATGTTCTTACATTTTATGTTTTGTTGGTTTGTGTATTGTTTTTGAAAATTAATAAAATATGTCCTTAAAAAAAGAACTTAAACAATTCACATGAGCAAGATGTATGGGTTTAGAGAGAACCTCACCCTTAATCTATAGTTCCTAGAAAACTAAATCAACAGAGAAAACAACAAGCCACAGCTTTCTAGTTGAACACTGAGCACTGAGGTTAAAATTTCAGAAATTAACACAGTATGTCTTGTAATTTTTAAATTTCTGGAAAAATATTAAAATAAATAAATTGTGTGCAAAGCATATTTGGCCTGATTACAAAATAAGTATATTTAGCCTGATTATACAATTAATCAATACTTCAATCAGAAACAGGTTTTTCAGTAGTCAGTTATATACTGACCATCCTAAAACAATTTGCAAAATTATTATTATTTTGAAAGTGTGCTCAATCTATTTTCAGGGCAATAACCAAATTCTACCAACACATCCTTGCCTTGGCCTACCATGTCTTTCCTATGAAAACCTCTCTAACTTCTATGTATGGAAAACAGGAAGTATTATGTAATCTATTAAATAAGCTGAATTTACTAAAAGGGAGTGTCTCCTTTCTCCTAAAACGGGGTTAGGGGTTAGGGGTCTGGTAGTGCAGTACCTTATAGAATAAAGCATCCTATGGCTTCTGGATTATCTTAGTCTGTTGATTTATTTTTGAAATATTCTCTCAGACCTTAATGTGTAAAAATGTTTCCTCTTCTCTACTAAATAATTCTATTCATTTTATATGGAAAATGGGAACCCTGTTCCATTGTAAGGAATGAACATTAACTTCAACACTTGAGGCTATTTTCAATTGCCAGTGTCTCTTAGATTATTTTTATTAGCATTTGCTCACTTGAAAAAAAGTTGAACCTCCAATTGAACCACTTATTCTGTCAAAAACAAAATAATTATATCCTACAGGAATCGCCGTATTTTTTTAACTAGGTCAAAACATCAAGGACTGTACATAAAGGTATTTAAATCCAGGAACAATTAAAGTATATATCTGGTTATAAAGTAACTCTTCAACCCCAGAGAGATTGGCACAAAGGGATAATAACGGCTCCATCAGATTCATTGCTACAAGTTTCCTCTCTCATCTCTTCTTTTCCAGAACATCTGTTCAATCCTAATGATACTCAGTATACAAAGTTGCAGACACATTGAACTTCAAATAGAAAATGGTGGGATTTCTGATTAGGTGTATTGTCAGATATAAACTTTGGATGAATCATTGAATGAACCATTGAAAAACAAACTTCCTTATGGACAGGAGGCACAAATATTTTCACTATGACAAATGCCTGAAGATGTTGTTCCTTCTGATGCTCTTGGTGCAGAAAGTAGTTGCTCTGAGCTGCCCAGCGAGTAATGCTTTCCCTGTTCTCCATGAGTGGTACCAATCTGGTGATCTCATCGTGGGTGGGATGGTGTCTCAGATAATTCACAACGTTTTTGGAATTGAATTTAAAAAACATCCTTCTCTAAAACGTTATGATTTGCCACTGTAAGGATTTTTTTTCTTTCCATTCATGTTCTAATCTTAACCAGGGTCTCCCAAAATTGCTTCTGTGACTAATAGTTCTTTGTGAATAAATTCCTGTTTTTTTAATATAAACTTACTCTTGCTTCCTTGCCTTTCAAACTTATCTGATTGTGGGAAAATAAATCATTTCATTGTGTTAATGAAATGATTTATTACTCATGAAATGTGTGAAATTATGCAAGAATTCTTTTGGAGAACATTTAGTGAATATAATTATCTAGTCTGTGCAGTCACTCCTCACATAATTGACATATTTTAAAAGAGTGATACTTGATGGCTGTATTCTATTTTATGCCAAACTGATCAAAATAAATGTCATAGCTTGAAAAAAAATCACAACTTATTCTATACATATTTGTTGCAAATCATGTAAATGTTATATATGGTTCTCTTTGGGAGAATATTTTGAGAGTGTAAGATAACAAAAATTATCCAGGCTACGCAGTCATTCCACGCATAACTTACATATATTAAAAGAGTGATACCTGCTGGTTGAATTCTAAATAAATGTGATAGTTTTGAGGGGGGAACATTAACTTTGTTCTATACTTATTTGCTGCAAATCAGGGAAACACATAGTTGAAAACTATACAAATTATTAGTGTTTTAACAAGATCCTCATCTTCTCAGTTACAAAAGAGACAGAAATGGTTATTACTCATATATTAATGCTTTCACCATAAAAGAATTGTCAACTTATTTTGTTCAATGGGGGTGTTTAAACTATTTGCAGTGTAATAACCAAATTCTACCAGCATGCCCTCGCTTTGGCCTTTGCTGTGAAGGAGATCAATGAGGACTCCCAGATCTTACCTAACATCACTCTCGGGTTCCACATCTGTGACAGTTACTACAACCCAAGGATGACCTATCGCACCACTCTGGACCTGCTTTTCAAATCCCAGGAATTTCTCCCAAACTACAAATGTGATAGCCAGAAGAATATCATGGCTATCATTGGGGGACTAGGTCCTGATACATCATCCTTTATGGCAGAAAGTGTACATATCTACAAAATTCCACAGGTAGATTGTGGTGGAGTGAGAGAGAAATTTCTTTTGCAATTAATAGTAGATACTAGGTGTTTACCATGCCTTTCTGCAGGAGTTCAATTAAATACACTTTTATCACCCCTCTTCTGCTTTTCCCACAATTCAATAGACTGGATCAAGGTAATCTAACGAAATCAAAATATTTTATTACAATCATACATGTGTTTTGAGAGCCGACCAGCAATAGGTCACAACTCTTCATACTACAATTTGCCTGGTGTATGATAAAAGTAGTTTAGTGTAAAACTCAACTGTTTTTCTTAGCAATTGTTGAAGGATTTGTGTGATAGGGTCAGTTAGTATTTTGCCATGCCTTCTATGCAGATTTCAATTTTGCTCTCTTTTCTCTTCCTTCTGCAATTATTCCCACAACTCAATATGTTGGATCAAAATAATCAGTCAAGAAAATCAAAATCTTTTATTACAATCATAAATTAGAAAATTTAAATCACAGTACAAAATTAATCTCATTTGAGAAGGTAACCTGATGTTTTGGATTGACTACTATTTGTGGTGAAATCTGGAGCTGTGTGAAGAGGAGGATAGAAAAGGCTGGCTAGCACATAGAACATAGAATAATAGATTTGGAAGTGATCTTGGAGGTCACCTAGTCTAACCTCCTCTTTGAACAGGAGACTCTATACCATTTCAGATAAATCACTATCCAATCTCTTTTTGAAATCCTCCAGTGATGGAGCACCCACAACTTCTGAAGGCAAGTTGTTCCATTGGTTAATTGTTTTCACAGTTAGGAAATTTCTCCTTAGTTCTAGGTTGCTTCTCTGTTAGTTGCAATCCAGTGTTTCATGTTTTGCCTCTTGGTGCTTTGGAAAATAGTTTGACACCCTCATCCTTGTAAGAGCCCCTCAAATATTGGAACACTGCTATTATATCTCATGGTTTTAAGAATGATCTCCTTTCAGCCACTTCTTTCCCATCCCCAACTCAAAGCTATCAGCATTTTCACTTCTGCCCACAACTCAACTCCATATTCCACCAAGCTACCCAACAATACGTGACAACTCCCCTTGGTAGTTCTGGTTGGATCTGATAACTGAATTTAAAACTCAATTGATTTGCCTGGAAATTGTTGAAATAATGGGGCTATTTGGTACTTTTGGAGATCTCTATAATAATTGTAGTAAATGAAGACATGATTAACCCTTGTTATTCCTCCAGAATCTCATGGACATAGTCTTCCATGTGTAAGTATTTTTTTATCTGCTACAAATAAGGGAAGAAGGTAATCCAGTAAGTCTAGCTCTTAAAAATCCTTTCCTTCAGCTGAGAAAAGATCACAAGCTCAGATTTTTAGCAAGTTTCCAGAAGTTCTAAAGGGATGAACATACTGTAACTCTGGATTTGGAAACTTAATATGGTTGTAATGTAAGTAAATTTCAGATGAGAAAATATTTCATCAAGGAATTTTAGTTGCTCCTCTTTTTCATCAAATGTCATAATCTACAAAGAATTGGACAAATGTTCAATGTAGGGGGAGTTTCATTAAGTTTCTAACCGGCAGTCTTCTTCACACTTTCCCCATGATTTTCATGAATAACAAGTTTTTCTTTTTCGTTTGTTTAGTTAACTTATGGTTCCTTTGCCCAAGAAGACTTTCCAATTACTGAGTTATTTCACATTTATTGCATGGTCCCAAAAGAGGATCATCAGTACACTGGACTTATACAACTTCTCCTCCATTTTGGATGGATGTGGATAGGAGTCTTTGCTTTTGAAAATAAGGAAGAACATTTTTTGCAGAAAGTGCAGCCATTGCTTTCACAGAACGGGGTCTGCTTAGCTTTTACACAAAAGATTCCACAATATCTTGACTTGGAAGACTTGCCTGAATTGTCTAATTCAATCTCAATTATTACTGATAAACTGAAAGATCAAAAAGCGAATGTTTTTGTTGTCCATGGGGAATCCATCACAATAGTGTGGCTAAGAACTATCATGTTTCTACATGATCCTGAAAATAAAGAGAGTGCATTATTTAGAAAGGTTTGGATCCTGATGAATCCAATTGATTTCATCCTGATGGGATTTCAAAGGAGTTGGGATCTCCAGGTGTTCCATGGGGCTCTTTCCTTTGCCGTGCATTCAAGAGACATTCAAGGCTTCAAAGAATTTATTCAAGTCATCAAACCTTCAACCCACAAAAGTGGATTTCTTCAAGAAGTTTGGCAACAATTGTTTAATTGTCTGTTTTCAAAGGCAGACTTGGTCAATGAAACTTGTAGTGGGGAAGAGAATTTGGAGAACCTGCCTGCACCTCTGTTTGAATTTCAGATGACTGGCCAAAGCTACAGTATCTACAATGCTGTTTACGCAGTGGCACATTCTTTGCATGAGGCAGTGAGATCAAAATCCCAACCAAGAGAGATTCAAAGGGTTGAATTCCCAAATCTGCTGCCTTGGCAGGTAATCTTTCCATGCCATACCTATCTTGTATGCCAGTGATTATCCACAATCATCCACAATCTAATATAGCTTATTTACCTGGTCTATGGTCACAAATCAATAGAGAGATCGAGGCAAGAAAGCTGTTAGTTTTATAAAATAAAAGGATGAACATAAACCACAAATTTCCTAATTTCCGTATAATCAAAGGGATTTACTGTATGCATCAATTTTCATTGTATAAATAACTTTTCACTTTCACATAGAATTGGCCTGCCTTGTGAATGTATCCAACTGGGTTCCCAAGAAGAATTCAATTGCATTGTGTCTGAAGGCAGTCTTTCTTCTTCTTTTTTTTGCTTGTGAATAATGATTCTCATCAGAGCTATGGTGGTGCATGGTTATAAAGCAGTACTATAGTCTACTTATGTTGACTGCCAGTTGCCAGCGATTTGGCAGTTTGATTCCTACTGGCTCAAGGTTGACTCAGTCTTCCATCCTTCTTGAGGTTGGTAAAATGAGGAGCCAGATGTGTGCAATATGCTGACTCTCTAAACTGCTTAGAAAGCACTGTGAAGCAGTATATGTTTAAGTATCCCAAATAGAGCTTTTTCAAAAGGCAACTGGACTTTCTATTTATTTTTTGAAGATGTTTTGCTTCCCATCCAAGAACTTCTTCAGCTCTGACTGGATGGTGGGGAATGGAAGGAGTTATACTATTTGCAGACAGGTGGTCATTGCTATTTTTCTAATGAGTAGTTAAGGTCACCTGGAGGTTTATCTGAGTCATGAAGGTCACCTGGTGCAACTGGGTATGGAGCAATGTTGGGATTCAATTTTTTATACTACTGGTTCTGTGGGCGTGGCCTGGTGGGCATGGCAGGGGAAGGAGACTGTAAAATCTCCAGTCAGAGGTGGTATTTGCTTGTTCTACTCAAATTTTCCACTACCAGTTCTCCAGAACTGATCAGAACCTGCTGAATACCACCTCTGGTGTAGAGCCTTATTGTAACTGTTGAAAGGACTATGTTGTAAACTGGAGAAAGATGATGTTGTGTTCAATTTTGACCTAGATAGCCTCTTTAACCCCTCTTTTAAACAAGTGGCCCTCTCTGTCCAAAATGTAGACTTTGCTGTCTTTATTTATTTTTATTGTATTTTATTTGGTTTGTCAATTGCTTACAAGATAATAGGTGTAAGTAAAAACATAGTTATGAATACATGGATACATATAAGAAAAATAACAGAAACAATAGAACAGGGATGGTAGGCACGTTGGTGCGCTTATGCATGCTCCCTACAGACCTCTTAGGAAAGGTGTGAGGTCAATAGTAGAAAGTCTAAGGTTAAAGTTTTTGGGGTTTGGGGAAGAAACCACAGAGTCAGGTAGAGTATTCCAGACATTGAGTTTGGTGCGATTAACCTTGAGTTGGTATCTATTGTTTGCTCTTGTATTGTTATGGCTGAAGCCTTCAAAAGAATGGTCTGTGTCTTTTGAATGTTGATGGACTTCTGAATTTAGTCCTGATGGATTTGTTCTCTTATGTTATGCCATGTGCTTATGAAGTGGTTGTTTTCTTTCCTCAATGGACACATCTGCACATGGCTCACTGCATTGTACTGGATATACCATGTTGCTAAATTTATGTCAGGATGCTTTATCCTTCGGATGACAAGCTTCTGCCTTAGTGTTTACTTGGGTTTGAAGTGCACACTTCAAACTTTGGAGATATTATTTTGGCTGAAGATCCTCCTGAGCTTTTCTGATATTCCTGCAATGTATGGAATGACAATGTTGCTTCATTGTCTGTTATGGAGGCACTGCTGTAGGGTCTTTTGAGATTTTTTTTTAATTTTTATTGATTTTTAAAACAAACATGAGCAAACAAAACATAAAAACATCAAGCCATCTTCCATATATATATACAGTGTGCCGGTTGGTTTACAAATTGTTTTGTGCTTCCATTTCATAGTCTTCAATTACAATTCCATTGTATATACTCTCGTACTTTCAATTAAACATTAAATACATTAATATCATTATTAATCAATCATTTGACTATACTTTTATTCATTCATGTTTTACGAAATAATCATATTTTACTTAATTTGTTTTATAACAGTTCATATTATCATCCCAAATCTATCCTAAAATCATTTTGTAGATATAATAAGAAAATAATACAACTTTATATATTTATTATTTTCTAAGAGTCTACATATTTCATTACTATGTTTTATTGTCTAACCACTGATAGAATAGATCCCAAATTTTATAAAATTGTTTATCATCTTGTTCTCTAATTTCAAATGTCAATCTACTCATTTCAGCACATTCCAATATTTTCTTAATGGTTTCCTCCTGTGATGGTGTTTTCTCATTTTTCCAGTTTTTAGCAAATACAATCCTAGCTGCTGTTAATACATTTACAATCAGGTATTTCAAGTCTTTACTATATATTTCAGGTAAAATTCCAAATAAAAATATCTCTGGTTTCAAATCTATATGCTTTTTTGTTATTTTTTCCAACCACATGTGGATTTTAGTCCAATATTTTTTAGCATCCGCACATGTCCACCACATATGATAATATGAGCCAGGTGTCTGATGACATTTCCAACATTTTTCAGATTTATTCTTGAACATTCTTGCTATTCTTGTCGGGGGGAAATGCCACCTGTAAAACATCTTGTACAAATTTTCTTTATATGCTGTTGACATTGTCATTTTATAATTTTGAGACCACAATTTTTGCCATTTCTCTAGATCAATCCCATATCCAAAATTCTTCCCCCAAGCAATCATAGTTTCTTTAACTTGTTGTTCTTCTAGTTTAATTTCTAATAAATATCCATACAATTTTTTAATCACCTTTTCATCAGTACCTGTCAAAATCTTATCTAAGTCAGTCAATTTATCATAGAAACCTTCCATTTTAGAATCTTTATCATACCTTGAATGTATTTGCGCATATGAAAACTAATTCGTCTTTATACCTTGTTCTTCTAATTTTTGCATAGATTTAAGTTCACCCTTTTCATTCAATATTTCACCTTATCTAACTGTTTGTTCCTTTTTGTATATTATAGGATAAGAAAAAGCTTCAATAGTCGATAGCCAGACTGGAACTTTCAAATAACATTGCCTTTTAGTCTTATCCCAGTTTAACCACAGAGACTGCTGTATATAATATCTTCTAAAGTACCTTTGTGTTTTAGTTCCTTTATACCATAAAAAAGCATGCCATCCCAACAACAGATCATGTCCTTCTAGTGTCAACAATCTAGCATTTCTTAATGTTATCCATTCCTTAACCCACATCAAATTTGCAGCTAGGTAGTACAACTACCAATTAGGCAAACCAAATTCTCCTCTTATTCTAGCATCTTGCAAAAGTTTTAATTTTATTCTTGCTTTCTTACCTTGCCATATGTATTTCAACACAATTTTATTTAAATCTTCAAAGTAATCTTTTCCAAGCCTAATTGGAATTGTTTGGAACAAATATAAAATTCTGGGTAATATATTCATCTTGATTGTTGATATTCTCCCTATTAATGACAGTTGTAAATTTTCCCATTTCACCAGATCTAGCGCTATCTGCTGCTTAAGTTTGATATAATTATTCTCTTTTAGTGTACTGCATCTTGCTGTCAGATATATCCCCAAGTACTTGATCTTATTCGTGACCTGAATTTTCAATAGATCTGCCAGTTCTTCCTTTTGTCTTAATAACATATTCTTTGTCAAGATCTTTGTCTTATCTTTATTTATTTTCAAGCCAGCCACCTTTCCATATGTCTCTATCTTTTCTATCAATTTTGATGCTGTTTCTAGTGGGTCTTCTAAAATGAAAACCAGATCATCTGCAAATGCTTGCAATTTAAATTCTTCCTTTTTAATTTTCATCCCTTTTATATTCTTTTCATCTCTAATATTTTTATTTAGCACTTCCAAGGTTAACACAAATAACAGAGGTGATAGTGGGCACCCTTGTCTTGTTCCTTTTCTTATATCGATAGAGTCTGTCAGTTCTCCCTCTATCATTACCTTTGCCGTTTGCTTATGATATATAGCTTCTATTGCTTGAATAAATTTTTTAGCAAAGCCCATCTGTTCCAGCAGTAATAACATGAATCACCAATTCACATTATCAAATGCCTTCTCTGCATCTAAAAATATCAAAGCCATTTGTTTTTCAGGATGTGCCTCGTAGTATTCCAAAGTGTCCAAGATTACTCTCATATTGTCTTTAATTTGTCTCTTTAGCAGAAATCCATTTTGATCAGGATGGATAAAATTGTTTAAGTATTTTTTAAGTCTTTCTGCCAATATTGAAGCAAGAATTTTATAATCTGCGTTTAGTAAGGAAATAGGTCTATAGTTCTTGATTTGTAATGGATTGGCCTCCTCTTTTGGAATAAGTGTAATATAAGCTTCTGACCATGATTTAGGTATCCTCTTCTTTAACATAACTTCATTCATAACTTCTAGCAATGGAAAGTTCAACGATTCTTGTTATATTTTGTAAAATTCTGCCGGAAGTCCATCTGGGCCTGGTGCCTTTCCATTATTTTGCTTCTTGAGTGCTTCAGTTAACTCCATCATCGTTATATTGCTTTCTAACATTGTTTCAATCTCTGTAGATATCTGGGGTAGATTAGCATTCTGTAAATACTGTTTAACTCTTTCCTCATCAGTATTCTCTTGTGTGTATAGCATCTTCAAAGTAGTTCTGTTTAGCAGCTCTAATTTTATGTGCTAGTTCTTCTTTTTCTATTAGACCCATTTTATGCTTGGTTATATCCATTTTTAACTTAATGTCCTTTTTCTGTGGCATTTTCTGTAACTCTTTTTCAAGTCCTTTATACTCATCCTCTAATGCCTTAGAGGCTAATCTTTTCATGGTATTTCTTTTCCTTGTATAGTCTATTATCAAGCCTCTGGCATATGCCTTCATTGTATCCCATACGTTCTGGATTGATGTATCTTCTTTTTTGTTTTCTCTAAAGAAAAAAGCCAGTTCTTTCTCCATACACTGTGTGAAGTCTTTTCCCTTTAAAATAGTATTATTTAACGTCCATCTAGATCTTCTTCTTTGTCCTTTCCATTTAATTGTCATTGGATTGTGATCTGCCCAAGTACTTGTTTTAATATTTATTTCTTGAATACTAGTTAACAATTCTGTTGACATCCATATCATATCTATTCTGGACCATGATAAATGTCTATTTGAGTCGAAGGTGTATTGTTTGGTTTTAGCATTTCTTTCTCTCCATGTATCTTTTAAGTTTATTTCATCTACCATTTTAGAAAAAGATTTAGGGAGGGTCTTTCTGTTTTGCTTTATTGTTTTCTGTGCTGTATAGTCCAGCACACTTCAAACTTTGGAGATATTATTTTGGCTGAAGATCCTCCTGAGCTTTTCTGGTATGCCTGCAATGTATGGAATGACAATGTTACTTCATTGTCTGTCATGGAGGCACTGCTGTAGGGTCTTTTGAGATTTGATGAAGTCCAACTTGGGGTAGCCACATGTTCCAAGGGCTTCCTTGATGTGTTTTCTTTCTTTTTCTTTTCCATCTTTGCTGGTAGGCAGGGTTCTGATGACTCTCTAGTTGCCTTTTTGAAAAGCACAATGACATCCATGACCTGGATGACTGAGAATCTCCATAGACAATAAGTCCAAGTGATATTGCTATCCAAAATTATCTTCAGCCAGTTCTCCATTCTATTTCCCCTTGGCTCATGAATATTTTAGAGTTGGGAGGTAAATCTCTCTCTCTCTCTCTCTCTCTCTCTCTCTCTCTCTCTCTCTC